ATCTTTTCTTATACAATATTATCTAATAAATAGTTATTAGAAACTTGAATAAAATATCCAAATAATTCATAAGTATTTGCAAGTAATAAGTAATCGAACGAGGCAAGTAACTTGCAAGTAACATATTTTTGGACAAGTACTCGAAATAACAAGTACCTGTTTTCGACAAGGCAAGAACAAGTCCGAAAATTCATTACTCATTCAAGGCAAATCAAGTATCAAGGATACACAAAAACGCAAGTAATCGCCTTACGCCCACCCCTAAATTCAATTCATGCATTTGAATAATTTATAGTTCTGATTTTTCTTGTTCGTCCTTTGTGGTTATGCAAAATAAACGGACGAAAATCTTTGGCTCTATACAACTAGGCCATAAATTTTCAAACACACATTCATTAACCTAGAAAAATTAGGTTCTTCGGCAAAGAAAATCTGCTTTGCTAAACCATCAACAACACTTCTCACTGAAAATACTTGGGAAACTAAAAAAGGCCATTTCCCTGGTAAATTAGGATATTTGCTTTGGTTTTGGTTTGATGAATTCCGACTTTGTTTGCTTTTAAGGAATTATTTATAGAAGGGACGAAGAACAGAGAAAGGCTAGTTAAGTTAAATGATCATTAATTTACGTTCATGACTAAACAGAAAATAAAATTATAAATACTTGTAACATTACCAACATATAAACTTTAATCATTAAAACTCAAACTTTTGAATAGCTTAAAATGTTGGGTTGAGTCGTTTCACTGCTTCTATGGCACGAACTGGAAAGAAAGCATGTGGTCCAATCTTGCTTTTGATATAACTGCAATGCTCCCGTATGGTTACACTATCTACTCGCTCAGGAGGCTCAGTATTTAATGGTTGGGTAAAGTTCTTTTTCCTTGTTGTTTTGATGTCTACTGATATCTCATTTTTCTCTTATGATTCTCTATCATTTTGTACTGTCTCAAATATTTTTACGTCTCAGTGTTATAAAAAAAGGAAGCTATTCATCTTAGATTGTGTTGTAGAATATCTTATACTAATATAAGTGAGAAAACTTAACATATGCAATTATATTTCCGTTCCTAGAGAGTATTTACGTTAACGAAGGAGGCTGAGATCGTTTGATAATGCGTTTAGCTTTTCTGCTTATAGAGGTTGAGGTGAAGATAATATACAGCAGCGTTTCACAACCTTCCGATATACTGCCTCCTTTTGTTTTGAAAATTTTCGGTAAATAAAAAACCAATTCGTCAAAAAGGAACTCATGGGCATGGAAGAAATTTGATCCGTGAACCAAGCCCAACATATCTTCTGAATGGGCAAAGAAAAAGTTTAGGTGCATCATTTGTCTTTTTAAATGGGTTTCTCAACAGTTGTTCTGGTAGTTTAGGTTAAAGTTTTCTGAAAAATCTTATTCTAACTTCTTTGAAAGCACTTTCAATTTAAAACTATTTGTTTTTCAAAATGGAGTAACTCTGTATTAAAAATGCCTTATTCAATATATGAAGTAACATTTATTTTCACTCCATTATGAAGAGGAAAATAGAGTCGGATTGAAACTCTTTTTTGCTACAAACGTTATTTTGGAATAAAAACTAAGTAGAGTTAGAGATACTCTAATCTATTTGTCACCTTTATACCAGTGGACACACACACACACACACATATATATATATATATATAAATTTGATACAACATTTAAGGGAATAAGAGTTGGTGATTTAAGACGAGAACTACCAAATGAAACTTTACCGTTTTAGAAAAGATTTGATATAACTATAGTCGAACTATTAGTCATTGA